TCACCGTTGAAGTTGTATATCCTGATGAATTAGCTATCTTCAAAAAAACCTTTAGTCATAATCATAGTTATTTCATCGAAAAAATATGCCATTTATTTATTATGTGTGTCTACATATATAGATATTCGCGGAGACAGACTAACAAATATATAAATCAATAGACAACTAACTATTTTTCTTTTTAAATAACTGACGATCACCTACGAATTTAATCAAAACGAAAAACTTTATAATAAAAATTTTCTTTTAGCTTCTAATCGTTGTCATTTATTACATGCTAAACTTTGGGATATTGAATCAGTTAATGAATTTGATTATGTTCTTGCTCATATATATGATCAAACTCAATCATTTGATAGTCCTCGTATTGCTGTTAATTTTACTAAAGGCAAATATAGTAAGTTTTATTTATTGTGTGAAAAACAAAATGAATTATTTTATCTTTTTTCTCAGTATTAAAATTAGAAAAACGAATGGGTGAACAACAATTTTTATCTGTTGGAAATATTAATGATTATTCATTAATTTATAAACCTTTACCTGATGTACCACCAGCAAATACAAGTTTAATTATTGATATAAGTAAAGCAACACGACGTATATCATTAGAAGAAAAATTTCGTTTAGAACGTCGAAGTAATCATTATATTTGTAAAATGAGTAATGTTATATTTTTGTAATATTAAATCTATTATTTATCTATTTATTTTAGCAATTAATAGTTGTTATAATAATACACGTTGTGGAAGTCATGGAACATGCAAAAATTTAATTGTTAAATATCAATGTATATGTAATTTTATGTACACAGGAGAATATTGTGAACAATGTAAGTTCGAATAAATGATTTTGTATAGGAAAAGAAATTAGATAATATATCAATAGTGAAGATCGAAAACAAATATTCTCTTTGCATATTAGTAGAGAACTGCACTGCCTTCCGAAACCTGATTCCGACTCCGATTGAGTCGGAATGACTATTTAAAACTTTTCGGAGTCGGAGTCAGAATAAAAAAAACAGACTCCGCAGTTCTCTCGTGGCTACACTACAAAAAGGTTTTCAAAGTCGGAGTTGGAATCGGAATAAAAAAACTCGACTCCGCGGTTCTCTACATATTAGTAGCTTTCAAAAATCGATATAGCTATTTTCTATTTCCTTGTGATGAAAAATAAACTATACAATTTTTCAATCTCGATTGTAACACGTCCATTAAGGTTTATAAATTCCAGATTTTTTATAATAAAGTACTTGCTTCTGGTCTTGCCTAAATAAATATATATTTTTGTAAGTTAACAGAATTCCCTGTCCTTAAGACATTTTTTCCCTAAAAGTATCATTTGAAATTTTTCATCATGAAAACCAGTTTTTTTTATCTAGTGGATGGGCGGCGCCCGTCCAAAAGACAAGACTCAGGCAAAGTACTGATAAGCGGTGCTCGCACCCAAAATTTTCATTTCGCCCATCCGAAAAAATAAACCTTGATGTAAACTCCATTTGTAATTATGACACGTTGCATGAAAAATATGATATTTATTTCTATTAACAATTAAGACACGCTATCTATACCTGTAGTATACAGAATAATTTAGAAGAAAAGACTAAAATTAAATGAATACATTTGCGTGCTGTAAAAACTTTGAATGTAAATACAAATTCGGATCAACATAAAAATATATTTTGACATTGTAATCGATTAGCTTAACCTTTCGAAACAAAACAAATTCAATTAATAGAAAAATGACATGTATTTGTTCAATGATTATAATTATAAAGATGTCATGTACCACATTTTTAATTTTAACTTTATAATAATCAATTTCCAATTCATCTTACTATAGCCTATACTAAGTTAAATTTTCGCAATTGACAAATTTTATCTATATCAAACTTAACCTTTCGATTCTAAAAATATAAAGTTTATTCATTATTAGTCACTATCATACAAAATCATCGATTAATATAGATATCATTTTTATTTAAAAACAAAAAAGTTCTTAATCGATTTTTCTTTTATATACGAAAAAATAAATTCAACATCCAATGAACACTTTGATGTGCCATATGTATATAAAAGATAAATGATGTTACGGTCATTTTCTTTCATACAATGATTATTGATTTATCTATTTTATCTTTTGCGAATAATCATGGTTGATCAATTTTCTATGACTATCGATGAATATTGATCATGATTGAAAAACAAGGAAGTTGTCTGTTCAATTGAGAGGAATAAACCATTGATGTATATATATATATATAATGAAAAGATATGTATAGACAAAATGAATATATTTTAATGTATATGACACGAAGTAACGTCATCCATTATTCAAAAAGGATAATAATGGATTGTCTGTTTCGTGTTGTATGATAGATCATTATGAACTTTTGTCCGTTCGAACTTCGACATTTGACAAATTGAAAAAAGATGACTTCTTCTTTTTTTTCTTCTTCTTCTTCTAAATGTGATATTTATATCTTCTTCTTTTTTTAGTAAGTAGTCATGGTGTTCAATCGATTATTGGTTTTATTCTCATTTGTGTGGCAATATTAATTCTTATATTTCATTCAATTTATCATTCTTTTCATCGATTAGAAGAAACAAAATCAAATTCAACTAAGAAAAATAAGTAAGAATCATCATTTCTTTGTTGTTAACCGCATGAAATCTTTAATATATTTATTCACATGTTCTTTGAACATATCTTGTCAAATTAAATCTCACCTTATTAGTGCTTGTTGTTCGATCAAATACAAATAGCGACTATGATTAAACGGTTTATTATATAAAAAGAAAAGCTCAAAGAAAAAGATATTCTCGTGCTTGATATGGTCAATGATGATGGATTACATTACAGCGTCCCCAATTAAATATGTAGTACGGTGGCGAGACACATTGAGACTAGATGATATCATTATTTTCGAATTTACAATTGCTCAGAGTATAGACACATTTACAGAGACAATTATAGAGGAAGATAGTGAAACCGGGATTGCTTGCATCATTTTCATTGACTATCTGTTGATCAAAATTCAATGTGAATGATGTATATGCATAGGTGCGTGTATATGGACTCGTTTGTTATACAATTTTTTTCGCTCGGCTCGACGACGACGATGATGATGATGATGATAAATGCGATCGTGAGAGTATAGGCGAATGAACAATATCTATGCACATTTATCTTTCGTGAGCATTCGTTGTAACAACAACAAGAAATAGAAAAATCTTACACAACTCTCAATTTTAAAACGTAACTTTTTTTCTTTTCTTTTCTTTTCTTTTTCACTTGCATCATATGTATAACGAAAAGAACAATCAACCATGAACTTCATTTCCCCTTCCTGTTCATTTTAGTTTGATGTCTACAATAAATACTCATCGTTTGTCTCGAGACAAATTTTATTCAATTCCAAATATTTCTTCTGATCAATTAATTGTACAAGATGGTTTAAAAAATCCAGCATTTTCAAATGATAGTGATACATCTACAATCGGAATCAATAATTCTCCACATACAATTGTTCAGTTACGTCGTTGTTCAGTAATTTCTTCATCATCAACATCAGCAATATTTTTTCGTCATTCATTATTATATTATTGTTGGCGTTTCTTTATTTGTCTTTTAACAATTCTTTTTGCAACACTCTGTTGTCATACAATATATCAATTAAAAATTAAAAATTTACATGCTTATCAAAAACTTCATAATACAACAAACGACAAAACATCGAATATATGTCGATTATTTCAATCAAATCTAAATCTATATTATAAAATTCCAGCTAATTATGTATCATTAGGAATTTTGTCTATTCTTATTATCATTCAATTCATTTTTGAAAATTTCTCATTTGGAAAAACAACAACAAGAAAATCATTTTGGCAACATTTACGAATACCGATGATATTTAATTCTCATTCACATATATATCGTTTTCAATCCGCTGCTGTATTTGGTATAATCGCATTAGAAATTTTACATATATTTGATGAATATATAATTCATGGTGCAAAACATTTTCAAAATGGACCATTAATTGATTTAATTATACAATTTGGTATTGGTCTTATGTTAGGTTTAAGATATTTTCCTATATTATCGATATTTGAAAAGGAAAATAATTATGAAAATCGTTTAGAAAATATTTTATGTTATGGTTTAGCAACAATTTATTTATATTGTGAAATTATATTTAAATTACAATCCGATATTAATTGTGCATTTGATAAAACTAAAATGTCAATTATTAAAGAAACATTAGAAAAACTTAATCAAATGGGTATAAATGTCAAACAGTATATGATTGGACAATTGGGTAAATAATGATTATCGATTGTCAATTTTTTTTCTTCTTTCGAAATTTCACACAAAATAGATTTGAGATCTTATCTATATCATATAATCGGTTTGTCATGAATGACGAATTTATTATATATATGATGAAGTGATGAGCATAATAATAAATCCCAGATTTTAAGCAATGTCTTGATATTAATTGAAAATATATGTTCTATTTGATAAATTAGTACACATATCGAATACTTTATCTTTATTTAGGTACAAATCTAACAACAAAATTCAATGATACATATCAAAATACTCATTTATGGTATACAAATAAAATCGAAACATACAATGCCAATGTAACCTATGATGATACATATGAAATTGAAAATGAATTAACACGTTTAAATTATTCATTAGAATTAAATAAACAAAGTATCTTATATAATATATTACGAAATGCACCGTATTATTATTTTATAAGTTATTTAGCTGTATGTTTAACAATATTATTTCTTAAAACATTTCGTAATAAATTTCAAAAATCATCTTCATGTCAATTATTACCACGATGGAAATATGTTAAATATAATTTATTAAAATCAACAAAATATATTTATTCGAATGATCAACAAGAATATTCACGTTTATTTCGATGTTTAAATTCATTTATATTCTTTTTTAAACAACATATTTATTCCATACGTCCATATTTTCGTTATTCAAAATTAATTGTTTGTATATATATAAGTGCATTTACACTTGTTTATTATTTTACATTTTGGATACAAGATCATACATATTTATTGACAAAAAAATTATTATTATTTTTAAATTTAATTCTTTGTGGTTTAGCTGATTTATCAAAAGATTTATGTTATAATTTAAATATAAATCATATTAATCAAGATATTAAATATATTTGTATATTAACAGCTTCAATAACATATTTACAATTATTTTGTGGTTTAAAACATTATCAAACACAAATGTGTAATGCATATAAAGGAATATTTAATGATATACCTAAACCAAAACATATTTCATCAGTATCAATTATTAGTAGATCAATACATTATCCAGGAAGATTTATGGGTATTTATATATAGAGTAGAATTGTATCTAGTAGCGTAATCAGAAAAAAAAAGTAGGGGCTCAGACCATATTTTTTGAAACTCTGGGGGGGGGGGGGGGGGGGGGGGAAAAGGGGGAAAGGGTTTTTTTTGATGAAGATATGGACGAAAAGTGAGGGTGGGGGCGAAAGGTGTTTCGCACATTTCTTTTCCTTGAAAACCCCATTCGCTGATATGGTTTTCGCTCAACGGACACCATATCGGTAATAATATATAACAGAATTTCGATTCATTATTCTAGCAAGAATTATTATCATGTATGGTTAGTTTTTCTGACGTGATATGACAATTTTTTTTCAAAAAGTTAACAGAGAGAACAATTAGAAATGCCCTGTAGTTCAGTATTTTATCTGGGGTTTTTTTTTTCGAGCGTGCGAATCAAACTTTCGAGTAGGCGAAATGAAAATTCTGGGTGGGCGCCGCCTAACTGTGCTTTATCTAGGTCTAGTATTGTAGGTGGGTGAATCGAAATTTCGAGCGGGCGCCACACCCACCCACGCCCTCAGTTAATATGAAAAAGTATTTCAATGTTCCTATAGTCATAGAAGTTAACCCGTACGTATAACAAATAGATAATAAAAATGACGAGTTTAATGAATAAAAGAATTGACTAGCTATGAATATTGAATACATCCTCTGTAGATTAGTCTCAATTTTCTTTTTTTTCTCTTTAGGTTCATTAATTTACAGTTATGGATTTTTATTTTTATTTGTTTCAATATTTTATATACTTTCTCGTTATATATTCTATTCAATAATTGTTCTGGAATTTGCTTCGAAAATATTATTACCAATGATAATATTCTTTTTATTTCAATTATTATTTGTACGTCTTTTATGTAAATTATTATTTATACAAAATAATCATTTACTGGCATTACGTAATCTACGTCTGTATTATACATTTTCATATTTTAGCTTCTTTTTCGATTGTTTTCTTGGTTTTATTATGTGTTTATCACGTATATCAAAAGGTTTTGCATGTACATTAGTTTTTTTTGCACGTCTTGATTATTCAGCATATGGAAGAGGATTAGAAATGTATGATACCTCCTATGCATCTTATGTTAGTTATTTTCATATTGAAAGAAATCAACGACATCCTGTTTTAAATGTATTTATTGATATCATACGACAACGTCTTATTGAAATACGAAAATTAAAATTAAAAATATCCAGGGAACAAACAAACCAAACATATGCAAAAGAAAAATCTTCTCAATTAGCACGTTTTCGTTGGGCATTAGCTTATACATTAATACATAATGAACAATTGAAACGTTATCGAAAACATCGATTATGTTCAACAAAAATAATACAATCAAAAACATTAGAACGTTTATTTGATAGAATTGGTTTATCACAAACATTACCAAGAAAATATTAGAATCTAAAGACAAACACCGGTGACATTCCTTTTTTTTCTGTTGTTCGTGTGTTTAGCATTGTATTATATGAATAAAGAATAGAAAAAGACTCAATTAGTTGATAATTATGTGCAAGTAGATAGATCAGATTTCAAAAACGTCCGACATACACTTATGTAATAGATAGATGCGAATGAATGATATTCAAATAATGTATCAAGTAGAAGAAAAAATGGATCAGTATATAGTTACATCAGACGAATATATCATCATCATCATTTTTTTCAATCCTTGATGAATTGTTCATTTGTCCTCGTTATATTACCTTGACCATTATTCTTACGTGAAGATAGCCTTTGGTTATCTTGAAATGACCTTTTAACAAAAGACATCAAATAATGTATCTTGAATGAGCACATCTGTATGACCATTTGTATTTTTCTTTTTTTGTTCGTTCGCGAATAACCAGGTCATGGTTGGGTGGCTTTTTCACTGTCTCTCTCTCTCTTTCTCTTTCTTTCGTTTTCTCTCTTCTGTTTTAAATCTATGAGTTCATTCGATCACAAGTAATCACACGACAAACTCATTTTGTTTTTGGTTTGAAACTATTGTGTAATCGAAATGATAAGTAAAATCCAACGAGATATTACATCATTTTATTTCGTTATTTTATTTATTTTTTTCTTAACAAATCAACCTGTTTCAACTAATAATATCGTTGATTTAATTCATTCAATAAGAAATAAAAATACAGATGATAATCGATCGACAGATAATTTAGTATCGGAATTTCGTGATATTATAACAACTATTCAAGAACATTTATACAATACAAGTATTCCAGGTTGAATAATTATTAATTTTAATATTCAATTTTTTTTTCTCTCAAATATTTAGTTTGTCTTCCTGGTTTTCGATCTTATGGTGGGTCATGTTATTTTCTATCTCCATTAAAATCAACATGGTTAACAGCATCAAATCTATGTGGAATAAAACGTAATTCATCTTTAGTTTCATTTGAAACAAATGATGAATTAGAATTTG